TATAGTTTTATTTTCGTACAAAGTCGTTGTGTAATGCAACGTGTAGATGTTCTTTTTTAATAGACTCGCTCGATGAGTTCCAACAAGCGGATGTTTGCGTCTTCTGAATATTACGTTGAAATATTGTTCCGGTAAAGAAAAGCTGTTTAATGTAATTAGACGTGTTATAAATAATGTTGATATGTTTGAGAATCAACTGTTTTGATGTTTACATATGTTTTAACACTTACATCCATCAATTGAGTATAATCATCACGTTTTTTTCACACCTACACGTAGACGTACATGACTTGCAATATACATCTGAGTAATAATGTTCCCTCAATTTTGCGACTTTATGTTTATCCAAGAATGAACTTTTGACTCTTAATTACGTCTCGTAAATTAATTAAAAGTTCTTTTATTCCAAAGTTCCTCTGACATTAATTCGAAATGTTATTGTTTTATTTCTTAACTAAAATAGAAGGATACATAGATTGTTATTATGTGTATACTTTCCGTTGTTAATTTAAGTTCTTCTTTTCTAATTTTTATTATTTTTTTTTATTTTCTTTGCAAATTAATTCAAAAATCAATTTACAATAAAGGATGTTACTTAATGTATTTCAAAGACATACAGTGGTCACAAATGTCAGAGTTAAGTCGAATATCCTTTTGAAATATTACAGTTTACATCGTTTCGTATAAATTGAAAGCAACATGAAAGCAATCAAAAGTTTAATGCCGTCAATAAATCAAGAGTGAGAGAGGAATGAGAAGACCAGTTACTGACTGAAGTAACGACGGCATTCGGAATGAAAAATGGACTTTGGATGTCTAATAGATACGGAATAGCAGTTTTAGTTCTTATCGTTCTTTAGTTTTCATTATGAATAGAAAATGTACATTTTTGTTCGAATCAATATAAAAAAATCACTTTTTGTAGTAAAACGTTGAATACTCATGAATAAGCATATTTTACTCTTATATTGTAAAGCGAAAAGTTTATTTTAAGGCCTTAATCTCGAAAACTACAAGTCAAGGTTAAATAAATCTTTTTGAATTTGATCATATAATTTCTGAGGATGGTTATAAGTTATTTACCATTTCGCTGGTATCCTGAAGTAACCAATAAAAAGGTTATAGTTAGCGTTGTTATAGAAGCTAATCTTACTAATATTATAAATGCGAATGTTTTCAAATTTGGCATACATTTAGACTATGTTCAGTGTGGAAGAACACATAGGCTACTAATTAAGTTTTTTAACTCCGCGCGAACGTTGTCGGAGGCGAGGGCTAGTTATAAAGACTCTCGACACAACGACTCGACAACTTCTATTAAAAGCTTCCATTAAAGGCTTTCTTTTTCGTCTTTATATTGTGTTAAAAAGGAACTGTCAGGTTGTACAATAAGTTCTTTTATTAGCTAAAGGTTTCCAGGAGACGAGTCATAAAAATAGATTTCTTTTGTTAAAAAGTTCATAAAATAACAGCTAAATTCGATTCTGAACACTCTCACGAACGATGGCTTCATTGGAATATGTTTTCGTGAGATAAAACGAAGAAAAAGACTCTGTGAATAGAGTATTGAAAAGAAAATTCAATATTTCTTTGAAGCAATACAATTATTACTAAAAAGAACATTGTCTATCAGAACTTTCGATTGAAACATGTACTGACGTATTTTTGATACAAATGATAAATTCTTTAACTAATGTACACGCAGTTATCATTTTTAAAAGCTGTTTTCTTCTGACATTATATACATAAACCAATAATAATGATCAAAATTCTATTTTAAACGCGCCACGGGTTACGCTCGTTAATTATCAGTTAAGAATCAGTCAAATACAACTTTATTCTAAGATTTGTTTTTGTTGAAACATGTTGGCAAACATATACGTGTATTAGATTGAAGTTTAAATAACTATCAAAAATTTTATACTTAATTATCCAACGTTAAACGTTAGAGGAATTTGTTGACCGTATTAACTTGAAAGTATTTACTTTTAAATAAATCTGGCAATATTTTACAACTCGTTTAGGTATGTACATATTTTTCATTTAGTCAAAGATGTTAGATATCAGAAAAAAGTCACAAAGCAACCAGTAATTGTAATAAAAAATGAAAGCAGTCTAGGTTCGCAGTTCCTTAAGAAATACTGGAGACATTTGGCATTAGTTTCATGAGAAATTTCCTTTGTAACGTAACGTATGTGGCAGGAACGATATTATCTAAATGCTTATGGAAATTTATCTACTTGAAGCACGTATTACATTTTCTGTATAAAAGTTAGGTTATCGACAGCACACCATAATGTAGATATTGTCAGTTAATTCACTTATATATTTTGATCGAAAAGCAGCTAGAATCTGATATAATTTTACATATTCAAGTTTGTTATACTCTAATATAATAGGTTAAATGTTGTAAAAATGGTTAATTAAATAATGAATACGGCTGATTAACTATTATTATACTTGAGTATAATTCCAATAATATAAATGAAATAGTACTGCAGCCTTCGAGTAATTTGGGTTAGAGGATATCATCGTGGAACGGTCATACAATCTAATAAACACAAATGTACATCATCAGAGTTTTTAAATCAAATGTATATATTTTTAATAACCAGTCAATTTACTCTTTTCATGTGTGTTTCTTTTCTAAATCTACCTTATAGAAGAATTTAATCTCCTCAAAAGAATTCTTATTACCACCATGTTGTTGCACAAATACAATTTCATTGCGTCATGTCATATGTGAACTGTGCAGTATTGTAACAATTTCAAGCTGCACGTTTACTGTTCCACTACCTTTGACCGTGCAAAGTTAAATTGGAACAATTTTTATTGTATCTTAAATAAATTAACTTATGTCATCATTGAACATTCTTAACATTTAATGCTGAATTAAAAAAAAAGTAGCCTTTGTGTTTTTAAATACTATGTCCTTTATCTGTGACAAATTTTATCGAGATCTGTTGATTCGTTTAGGAGATACCTTCTAACATCCATCCTCCCATATATCTAACATTCGCATTTATATAAGTATGTTTATTTATTATTTATCATTTGAAATCCTGACTGTTATATAAATATAAGTACTTATAAACGTAAATAAAAATTAAAACCGATTAAATATAGTATTTCCTGAAACCTATAAAAATTCAATGTGATACCGCAAAATTATGAGAACTATTAACGAACGATGATAAAATGATAGAACGCAGTTATTCTTCAAACTTCAAAGTACTCTAATAATTTATCTCATAAATGCAGTTATGAAAACATTTTTTTCTTAAAATGAATTAATGAAGCCAGTAACGTGTAAGTGCAGTTGTAAGCGTGCATCACAACATAATGTTTCAACGTACTAAAGGTTGTTAAAACGTGTTCATTAATAAAAATTATTTCCTAATTAGAGAAACTGATTGTTTATTAAATTTTTAGCACAAAAACGGCAGTGATAAGTGTAGCGTTAAATTACTTCTGTTATGTTCAGTGTAATTGCCAAGTAAAGTTGTTTTCTCGTAACGTATTTTGCATGACATGTTACTTAATGTAGGACAGTTCATTGTTTTATAACGGAACAAACAATCATAGCGATATATTGTCTAGAAATAGGTTCAATATAGAATACGAGTCTTATTTAAACGCAGCACCTATTTAATATAAATACTTAAGTTTGATCTGTAGTTAAATTCTAAAATTAGTTTGTTACTCTTGACATTTAGAATTTCTTTTTTTACCTTTGGTTTACAAAACATACCTACTTTTATGCTAATTTACGTATTGTATTTTATGCAATTTGTTTTTTGTAATAATTATGAATTTGTGGTTGTATTTCATTTCCTGTTTGTGTATTAATTAATGATTATTGTATACGTAGCAACTTTGATAGTAATTACTTCTTGTACCCGCCTTTAGAGTTAAGCATTACGATGTCTAGTTCTGTACATAATAGCACTCTTTTGTTTTATTGGACTAATAATATGCGTAACGGCTGGACCGAAGATAGTAACCGGCTACTTCCATACTTACGAAGTCTAGTGCGACGGCTAGTTGTCGATAAGTCTGTAGTCTCCTGAATCCGTATCGGTTTTCGGATTAAAAAAAAACAAATGATAATATCATAAAATATCATCAGTCCCTATTCTTAGCGCTTAATCTTACTAGTATCATAAATGCGAAAGTTTAGACGTATGGATGGATGTTTTTTTGGAGATATCACCAAAACTGCTCAACGGATTTTGATGAAATTTGTAACACATGTAGAACATAGTTTAGAAGAACTCATACGCTACTTATTACGTTATTCCAAATTCCGCGCGAACAGAGTCGCGGGCGACACCTAGTACTGATATAATTTGAAAAAAGTAGAGTTGTTTTGTTACACTTGAATGAATGACGTCACCGTGACGCAAACGCAAAACATATCTACAATTTATTATCACGTATTTAATTGTCTCTCACAGTTCATATGTTGTATCTGAGTTTACCTATCAGATAAAATACAGTTATCGTTATATTACAAGCCAATCACTTTTAGGGGAATCGAAAATGTGAATCAATAAAAAACATAATGTATGTATCAAGGACATTCCATTTGCGATTTGTTCACCAAAATGACAATTAGAAAAGTGGCTGACCTATTAACGAAGTCGTATACACTTTTAACGTTGCTTTAATGAGGATCGCCGATTTATGTATCTGTTAGAACGTTTTCTTAATTAAAACATGAACACCCATTACAAATTAAATATAAGCAGAAAGAGATGTAATATATAAATTAGTAGAACTTTCTAATCCATGTCATAAAAGGTTATTAAATATAATAAAAGTATTATACAATATTTTGTATCTCGAGATATATAGGGAGAAAGACAAATACAAGATGATAATATAACCTATGATTTGTTCGGTTAAACTTTAACCGAACAAGGAGGAATCGTTCGATAGTGTTTTTAGTTATTTTCAAGTAACATACTGAATTTATGTTTATCTTGGATTTATTTCAGGAGATGGAGGAGGTGATATTTACGAATTTGAAACGTTAAATTGCATAACTATGAATAATATAAACTTCGTAACTTCGAGGGTGGTCAGTACCTGGCCGATTGAAAACTCGACAAAGGACTTCAGTCTCAACGAGGAATTTCCAAATTCAACTATAGACGACGATGCAGACTCGTTTATTGAAGATGAATATATTTTCGACAGAACCGATGTTAGAGCGATATTTATTACTTTGTATACGATTGTGTTTTGCTGCTGTTTTTTCGGTAAGTTTTATTATTTCATTTTTTTAATAGAAATTTGTATTTTGATTAAAATTAATTTTATCTCAGGACTTCTATTAGATCTCTAGAGAGTGTGAGAAAGTCACAGTGCGTAATAACGCAATAGCTAAGAAGCTTGTCTTCTCCAAGTGCAATTGATTACACCCTTTAATTACTATTTCTTATAGAAAAGTTGTATTTGAATGATAATTAAAAGGTGATTAATAATGATGAAATTGGCCCTCAAAATTAGTTATTTTTCACAGAATATTTCGTACGGCGTAAAATTTTTTTAGCTTCTTACTTTTGCAGCTTTTAAAGTAATTTATTCTTTACATCAGCCCGCTTTATTTCATTTTAAGATTAACCTTGATACCTTTGGTATGGTAAGCTGTTTTTGTTTTTAAGGATTTAAATAAAATAAATGTTTTTTTTTATGCTAAGGAAAATTTCATATGACACAGTTTTGGTATAAATTGAATTAGACATAATTTTCAGGCAACCTACTTGTTATTCTGGTCGTTACTTTATCAAGACGTTTGAGGTCAATAACAAACTTTTTCTTGGCGAATCTGGCTGTAGCTGATCTGTGCGTTGGAGTTTTCTGTGTCTTTCAAAATTTGACTATATACTTAATACCGAGGTAAGGTAAAATAATTAAATAAAATAAGTTTGAAATTCGTTTTAGTATGCATTTTGCACCATGATGTTCTGTTAATATTCGTTTATTGATCGAAAAAAAAACCCTGTAAATATTTGAAATATTCGAGTTTAAAAGGTTTATTAAAGCTGGAAATATTACTTATTAAATTTTAATAAGATTTTTTTTCAGCTGGGTATTTGGTGATTTTTTATGCAAGATGTACCAATTCGTGCATTCTCTGAGTTACACTGCGTCCATATTCATCCTTGTCGTAATCTGCACGGAGAGATATTTCGCTATCATCCATCCAATTACCTGCAAGCAAATTCTCACCTCAACTAGGTTAAGGGTAAGAAAGATTTTTTTTAATTTACCTGTAACTAAATATTTTCCAAATTAATAACGACGCAGATTTTGTTCTTAAAATTAATTAGAGAGCAGAATATAATTAAATTAATTAAGGTAAGGGTTTTAATTAAATAATTATTTGATCATATTTTTTATTAATTATCAAGGTACAATGGTAGCAAATATAACTTATTTTTGTAATTCTTATTGGACAAAACATTCTAAAATATATACAAGTTCATAAAGAAAATGCTTTCAAACTTTCGAGATTAAAATCTCAGTCCGTCTATTTTGTTAAAGTTGTTTAGCAATGTACAAATATTTGTTCGTTTCTTATAATAATATAATAAATATAATAAAGTTTTGATAATCGTTTCGGAATAATTCGTTTGTATTATTTTGGGATACCTAATATCTTAAATTTTCAGTTGAAAGAAATAAATAGTTACCTAAAGTATACTTGATAAATATATCTATAACCTTATTTTATATTCTCAAGCTATAACAATTGAGCCAATCATTGAAGCAGCCCCGAAGTTAAAATAACATGTCATATAAAAGTCATTTAATATTGTTAGCAATTAACGTCTATTATAGCAATAGTATTCGGCCTATCGTAAAAGCTTCCCAAATAATAACGATCTAGACAATCATTTAAGAGGCGTAATTACGAAATTGTCGGCAGCATCGAATTCGAGGTTCTCATATTCTTGATAAGGAAAAGTTTCGTTACTTAATGACCCTAATTTATATACATAGGTGATTTTTCATGTGGGAAAAGAGTAATGTTAACGTATTTATCAGTTTAGCAATCAACAACTTATACAAAATCATATATCTATTAGAAGAGTCTTTGTTTCATTTTCTTATGAAAGCTTCATTGTAATTAACTTAAAAAATGATACGATATTCTGATATACCAAATTTCGCCGAAATAGCGAAGCGACCGCTTTCAATAGATATAATCTATCAATTATTGTTATAAAAACATTGCGTCATGATTGCAGCTGGTGATACTAGGTGTATGGATAACAAGTGCAGCGTATAGCGCGCCTAAATTCATTTGGGTGGAGACCATAACAAACAACTTGGGCGACGGCCACACAGAGACCATTTGCATACAACACCGTATGAAATACAACTCGGAAATCTTCGATATGGTCAACTTTGTGCTACTGTACGTGATTCCATTGTGCATTATGACGGTGAGTAGTGAATTTCTTATCTTTCTTCAACTGTTTATCGATTGGATTGGATTGTATATCCAGCGGGACTAGACGAAGTGCTAGGCTGTAACAATAAATTGCGATAACGTGACTGTCGCGCGTCACTTCCATGCATTTTTGAAGTTCGTTATGGAATTGCTTCGGAGCGAATGCACTTTATATAGCCCCGCTGTGTTGTCGTTTCGTTGGTTGAGACTTATCTTCAATAAAAAGTTACTTATTACATTGTTAAACATTTTTCTGACTTTTGATTTTCCAAATGAACACGTACAATATTTTTAACTATTATTATCTTCGATACTAGTTTAAATCATTTTTCAGCTTCATCAGACAAATTGGACAATCAAGAAACAGATGTTATCGACTCAGCTGTTTTTACAGCAACATTATTTTTGTACTCGTAAAAATATTTTATGAATAGAAATGTTCTCTGCCTGCATTTATGGCCACTTGATATTATCCTGATATTGTGCAGATAGGCAATAGATAATTTAACAGCGGAATATCATTTTTATTGCCTTTTACATGAAGCATTATCTATATTATTTAAATTGGTATACATTCCAAAACTGTTGTTTGTCAATTATTATAACACTAGCTGTCGCTCAAAAATCCTTCCGCGCGGAATTAAAAAGAAATTGTTGTGTTTTATGTATGTATGCCAGAATTCATCAAGATTCAAACAAACATCCATCCATCCACCCAAACATTCGCATTTATAATATCACAAACTGTCGCCCGCGATTCTGTCAATTAAAATGTCTATGATCTATATGTATGCCAAATTTTATCGCGATCTGTTCATCCCTTCTAGAGATATCTTCAAACAAACATCCATCCATTCAAACATTCGCATTTATAATATTAGTATAATGTAAGTATGGTTATTGATCACTGCGACGAAGTCACCACAGTCAAAAGAATGTTTTTATTTTCTACTTAACTTTGTAAATGTTTGTATTGAAATGTTTTCCCTATTTACTTTTATGTTAATTTATAAAACGAAATATAAAGATCCTAAGAGGAAAAATTGTAGACAAATAATTCCATAGTCACAAAGTTCTAATAAAATCTTTTATTAATGAAGCTTCCAAAAAATGTATAAAGGGAACAAATCAAACACAATAATATTAATTTATTATACCAGATATCTATTTATATTGTAATATGAAAAATGAAAGCTTATTAAATACGCTACGCTTCACCTGGAAACGAAACTGACTATGAAAGGCCCTAAATATATAGGTATATTTCATTATATATTATTTCAATTGCCTCGTTTCCACAACGTAGTGATGACACATGTCTGATGAACACTAACCGGTTTTGTATAAGTACCTACTGTCACAAATTCAAATGATTTGAGCATTAAATTTCTCACAATGAAACATTAAAACAGCTATATTATAAGATTGAATAGGGTTGGCACTTTAATGTTTTAAAAATATGTGTCCTGATCTTATTCCAGATCGGCAGTCAGCGTTGTCAGATCATGTCTATAGATAATATAGAATAACATGTGACAGTTGATTTGAACTTTATTGGAATGATGTTGTAGGTTTTGTACGCGAGGATCGCAGTTGGCTTATGGCAGAGTTCTCATGGCTTGCAACAGATGGGACATACGCAATGCTGTGGCGCCCAGGTAATATACAAATATATGATAGTAACGAAAAATTATACTTATGGTATTCTTAAACATATTTCGTTGCTACGACCAAAATGGTTATGAATCTTTATTGTCTTTTGTTACAAAATCAGATCTTAATCCTTATATTAATAGCTTTATGTATTTTTGTAGAAAAGTTGTGTAGTGAAAATATTTATTTTGTAGAAACTCCAATTTTAGATATCCATTATAATGACTTGATTAATGGATAAGTCTTAAAGTAACGAAGTAACTTTGTTCGACAATATAAGCCTTAGAGCACTCTTTTAATTGAATTTTTGATAATCTGAAATGGAAATACGAATTTATTTTTACATTTAAAATAATTAAGGTACTTTTATTAACCTTTTGTTTTTTACACCAAAATCTCTGTATAAAACATGTCGACCTCCTTGTCGTTATATTTGACAAAACAGATTTAACAATATTTTTAAACGGGGATTTTAGTCTTAGAAACCTACGGCAAATCTGATGGTATTTAACTTTTACTTGAAATACAATAATATTGAATTATGATTTCAATTGCAATTCATTTTCATACAACAGAAGAACGCGTCAGCTACAACAAATAAAAGCGGAAGTTCTAAGAAGAATTCAAAAAACCAAGAGGGTCGCAACTGTTACCACTTAAGTCATCTATCACGTAACGTTCTGCGCGCGCGCCGCGGCGTCGTCAGAATGCTGATAGTGGTTGTCCTCACATTTGCCGTATGCAACCTACCATTCCACGCCCGTAAGATGTGGCAGTACTGGTCCAGTGGATATCAAGGCACCAGCGATTTCAGTGCACTTCTCACCCCACTGACATTTCTCATCACATACTTCAACTCTGGAATCAATCCTTTGCTCTACGCATTCCTATCTAAGAACTTCAGAAAAGGTATGAGGGAGTTGCTCTTCTGTAAGTTTCATGGTAAAAGGAAAAGTGACAATTTGATTTTACTAAATCGTGTCGGTGGTACTGGCTTAAGGCGCAGTTCCACTAGGTCGACTCGTGCTAACTGCAGCACGGTCACAGTAGCGCCGAATGCGGATTCATGAGAAATGCGTCGGAGGAGGTTCCTCTATAAAGTGGAGAATATAGACATTTCCTGATTAACGGAAAGCACTGACGAGGTGACCGAGAGCAGTGGTGTGTGTGCCTCTGTGGTGTCCAAAAAAGACTTGTATGATTGAGTGTAAGGTATACTTAATGTGAATTTTTTAATTAAAAAAACTACGAAATAATTTTTTAATTTCTTGTCGCTGGATGAGATTCATTAAGTACACGATAGTTTTATTAAATTGTTATGTATAATTTCTATGAGCTTACGTTAATTAAGGCTTAAGGTGACTTTAATTAAAAAATCTATTATGCTAATTCATTAGATTCCATTTGTAATAAAATTTAAAAAAATCTGTACAAAATCTGTACATTTGCTATTGAATTAGAATTTTTAACAGAATTAGTGTAAAAAGATCTTATTACGTATAAAGTTATTGACAATGGGTCGTACAAATAGTTATTAATCTGCAGTTAATACGGATTTCATTATTTTTAATAAGAATATACTTTAATCTTAGTGTGTAAATCTGAATATTATCTTTGTGTACGTAGGTAGGGACCACGCATGACTTAAGAAAACAGTTGTGTATTAAACTCTGAAATATTAAGTAAGGAAATAACAGGAAACGGAAAGGCTCCACCATTTTGAATATTGTGTACATATTTGTTTAAAATGTTTTACTTAGCTTGTTTGTTTAGTTTTTTTTTTTTGGCATATTACTGATTTTTTGATGGTGGCAGTAACTCTTTGTTTATTTTTTTAATAAATAACAACGATTACGATCAATTATTATGTTTATTTTATTATAGGTGTTTGTCAAATGTTCCCTTATTTTAAATGATGTACGATATTTATCCTATATAAATGTAAATGGTGTATATTATAAGTATAAGAAATCTAGTCGAATGTTAATATTGATATCTATTTTATTAAAATTTGCATATGGGAAAAAAAATGGGTGAAATTTTGGTCAAACTCAGATTGTTCTGTAGTCTATTTATAGCAGAAAATACAATAATAATTTAATGTTTGTTCTAAACTCTTGTACAAAACATTAATGACATCCATCCCTTTTATTTTCTTTGGAAAAATTGAGATAACAATATGTTTCTATATAGTGCTTTTAGTCAATTAAGCTACTCTATATAAATATTATACAATAGAAAGAAAAGTCCTAAACTTGACCACAACTAGTCATTAAAATTATTTTGGTTTATGTTCTTTTGTATTTTTAATAAAAAATTTAAGATATTAACAGTAAAAAAATTCATGAACATGATTTAAATTAATATCACGTTGAACCATTTTATTATATAGTTGTCGTAAATACTCGAGTTATATAAAAAAAATCACCTTTATTTGTAATTAAGTTATAACTTATCTATTGTAATATAAGAAAGAAGATCTTGTAAATTTTTATTCAGAAATATAAACATAAACTATTGTTATATTTGTAAATAACATATCAATAAATAATTACATTATTTGAATTTTTTTTTCATTTCAAATCACCCATTAGCAACAAAGTTGTACAGATTTTTGGATATAGATAAGAAAATAATTACAAAACAAAAGAGGTAGAAGATTGGAGTCGGGTCTCGAGTAACATCACGCTTGTCTTCTTGTCTTCGGTCTTTGTTGTCGCTTGTCGTCGGCACAGGGTCTACAGGGATTGTAGGCATTTTAGTATTTTGAAGTAGTTAAATATCTTAGTTTTAGGAGATATTGTATATACATATATTACTTTGATTTTCATTTTGATTAACAAAAATAACATTGAAACAGTCCAGTTTCCAAGATAATTAAAAAATTGTGGATGTTCTCTAACGAATACTCTCTTACACACGTTTGATTTTTCCAGAGGATATTAGCGGAATTTTGAAGTAATTTAACCATAGTAATGGGTTTTGGTAGACCGCCAGCATTGTAAAAGAAGCGGAAATGTTGTGGAAGCAATAGCTTTGTTTAAATTGTATAACCTTCTTTCCAACTGCTTTTAACACTGCACGGGTTATTTATAAGTCAGATAAGTGGCTTTTGAATAAATTTGTGATAGCAATCTCAAATCTTTAAAGAGGTTTTTGTGTGAGAAACTTTCAACTTTTAGAAGTTGATTAAAATTTTATAAATTGTAATATTTCAAGAAAGAGTTTTTTTTTAATTATTTAGATAATTTACATGCGTGCAATTGTTCGTGAATCAGATTCTTATTTTAAACATTAATGCACATAATGAGTAGCAACTGGCAACATAAGTATTTTTCAATGAATAAGTCAATATAGAGGCTTTTATTATCTGTTAGCGTTTCCGATATTAGGGCTTGCGTCGTTAATCTAGACGCAATAAGAATTTATACGACTTGATACTTAGGAAAAACGACATGGCAATAAGATAAAGCGTTAACGTCATGAACGATCTGTCTAGGTCAGCTGATTTAGGTAGTATTTATTTAAGCCTGGAGGACGTAAACGAAACAATAAAAAATTTTACTTATCTATATGGTTTGTAAAATGTGAAATTCATCACAACATTCCTTTTTTTATTATTTTTTATATTACCCTATGTTTCGTCTATAGATATAGTTATAGTTACAGTTTTTAGTAAGACGAATAACAAGAAGTTTTTATACTTTTTACTCATACCAAAAAAAAAAGATTTTGTCATCCCAAATCAACGTAGAGGTTGTGGTTCCCTCATAAATTCACCATCGAGCCAAACTAAACATTGAGTTACCAAAAAGTTTTATAGTCTTTCCTGTAAACAAACATTGACCATGAGCTACATCATGCAATTGTTAATTTAAGAAAAAAAAATCATCGCTTTGCAAATTTTTCCAGCAGATAAAATTCAAAATATCAGTGTAGCGATATATCATTTTTAACGTTAAAAAACTGACTTAACTGCTATGTATTATAGTGCGTAGTTATTTTCGCGGTAAACCAATATTTCAAGAGCAATTCGATACTTAATACATACGTGAAATAACTAAAACCAGTTTTAATTGTTCCTAGCATTAAACAGTTTTAATTTCCTCCATTAAAAAGCTTTTCTATTTGAATGATAGCAACATAAATAAGCGCATGTTTCGTTAGATAGTAATGGTCGGAATTTTTACACTGTAATTAAAATTTTACGTCGGTCTTAAATTTTTATAAAATGGGCATCGACGTGCCGACAAACGACGCGCCGCCTTTATTACGTTCAGGCAACCGATTTACTAGTATTACGTTTAGAAATTGGTAAAAAACTTAGAAGTTATCAAAAACATGACCTTGAGTTTCCATTGACGATATTTCCTACTTAAAAAATATAAAGGTTTCCGTTTAGAAAACTAAAGAAGCCATCTTATTCTTGAAAAATGTTCCCAAAAATTTATAGATTTTTTAGCAAACATCTTTTGGAAACCAATATTATTTAAACCACACATATGAATCATTCTCTTACTGAGACTTTTAAGAGTACGAGCAATTGTTTTGATAATGATTTGCATATTTTTAACTTTCGTCTAGCGTACACCGTTGCCAATAGTCAAATATTTATTTTCAAATTCATTCGCGGTTCGATTTGAATTTTCTCTTTGTTGAAACATATAAATAAAAACGTTTCATAAAAGTATTTTGACGTGTAATTGAGTAAAGGTTATGTTAAAATTCGATGGTTTGAAAATATCATTTTTCTTTCATTTAACAGGTTTAGTATGTCTTTGAGAGTCTCGACAGATTTATGTTTTAGCAGACGAATAAGATATAATACTAAGATTTAATATTTACAATTATTGAATAATTTAAAAATGTTTGTGACTACATTATTTGTCTAATATTTTAAAGTTCATACAGCCCGTGCTAATAGAATAATTAAGTGTTATAAGCGCGTATCATAACGAACCTGACTATGAATATGTACCACGCGTTGCTTTATTTCTTAATTAAGGCGCGTGCGGCCGTAAAATATCTGATCTTCGTTGAGTTATGTCATCGTGTTTGTTACATCAAGCAATATATTTGGCTATGTCTTTCTTCTTTTGTTTTATCTACATAAAAATTACGCCCCTAAGTTAGCAATTATTTCTGTCTCTAATTATCTGAAGATAAATAGTTTTATATGTAGTTATAACTGGGTTTTTTTTTAATATTAAATTCAAGAACACTGCGATTAACTATAAAAATACAAATATCCCTATGTTATTTTTATAAGACTGCAACAAGCATTAATTACCCAGTTTCCTGCAATATGCACGACTAAAGTCTTTGTAGTTTTAGTATATTTTTAAATTTGTCGTAAAATATTAATTTCATTTGATGTATTGTTACTTGTTTAGTTTTTTCATTATCATTAAAACATTATGAAATTATGATAAAAGGTACCTAACATGTAACTAATAGTAATACAATTAGTCTAAGAATTCTCGGATTAATAAAATTATGTCATAATAATAAACTAAAATCTTAACTATTGTCTATAATGTTCTATGGAAAACATTTAACCTCGTTGGCGTTATAATATAATAGACCCATAAGCAATGCTTACTCCAACGTATAGGCACGTTCCATGTTAAAATAACATTAAGGTATTTTAACATGGAACGTGGGCTGGGCTATACTCATGTATTTAGTAAACAGTGCTATCAAATAGTCTTTTTCGTTTCAGTAATAAAATCAAAGTAAAAGTAATACTAGAAGGAAAAGACTTGGTAATTGAAAAAAGAAAAAATTAAATTGCCTTTTCACTTATTACACACAGATAAAGGATATTACCCTACCAAGCTGGTTGCAAAGATTTTCTTACATTAAACAATTTTTTTTTTCCTGAGTAAACTGAAAATATTTTCAACACATAAAATTGTTCGTTCAAGGAAAATGCTGCATAATTCATTATCTTGTTTTGATCCGGGGGAGTTTTAATCGGACGATTAATGTCTGAAAATTGTTGTCGCTTGTACAGGCGCATGGAAAATTAATTATGATTTTATCTTTTGACTTCAAAGATGATTATCGTTTTGTTAATATTGAATATAAAAGGTCAATATAGAAAAACAAATACGAAATACGTCCTTCTTTACCTTATTTATTTTTCAACTAACTGAGGAGAGATTAAAAAAAAACTTAATTAGTAACCCTATATGTTCTTCCAGACTATGTTCTGCATCGGTGCCAAATTTCAGCAAGATCCATGCAGCAGGTCTGGAGATACCTTCAAACAAACATCAATCCATTCATCTAAACATACGCATTTATAATATTAATAAGAAATAAGATTTGTTACGAAATATTGGTTACTTGTAACTGACTGATATTCAATTGACATTCGATAAATTAAATAAAGAGAAACAAACGGAATTGACAGGTGAACATTCATGAATAAACCGAAAAGAAATCATTCGTTTATGTTATTTATAACATTGTTTTCACGTTTTATTTTAATACAAACGAGGCATCCTCACAGTTCGAAATTAATTTAATTATGAAGCTAAGTAATAAGTAAATTCCAGATATTCAGGTGGCGTGTTTGTGTCCGTAACCTCTCTCTCGTTGGAAGTTTTTAAATGAAATTGCGAAACTTTGTAAATTATTGTAGGTTTTAAAGTTTATTTGTTAGGATTTACTGATTTATGTTACCCATTCAAACATCGCAATTGGAGCGGCAAACGACTTTTATAAATTACATTCCATTTGCTTATACCATCAACGATGGAAAGATATTTGCGAGAACCAATATAAAGCCACTTACACACC